GCTCCATTTAGCTCCTGACTTCCATGGACTAAAAGCAGAATGGGTAGAACCACCAACTGCAAGGAAATGCCTATTTCTCAACCTGCCACAGGGAAGCTTGAGGGCTGAGCCATTGACCTTGAACAAATTGAAGTCTAAATAAAAACCAGGAGGGGAAAATACATGGATTAATCATCTGAGCAGGAGACCAGCACCAAGTGAAGAACTCTAGAGTGTTTTTAGGTAAACTCAATCCTGAATCTTTACTGATATTACTGTGGCATATGATCATTAGGTTTTCCTCAACATGGTGATATTAAGACATGTCAAGCAAATTTATTCTACTAAACAACAGTGGAATTTTAACTGTATACAGTGAAGAGTCAAGTAATGTAGAACCTAGCACTATTAGCCTCAACACACATCAGAAGGTGACCTTCTCCAAAACCCAAGTAATCAAGCAGTAACACGTTCCTATATATATCAATGCCCCCCACCCCACGACCCAAGAGTTTCACTTCCAAACTGCTGAATCATCACTAGACAGCAAAACGGTAGAAATCAATTAATCAAAGTATCATGCAATAAATTTGCTCCGACACAAGTCAATAACTTTCGTAAGAGTGAAGGGAAGAGGGGAAAAGAGGAGCAACCTGGCAAGGTCATTCTGTAGCAATTCACTTTCTAACACCTGGGCTCAGTTCAAACTTTGGGTGCTTTGTGAAAATTCCTTGCAACTGAATTTTGGTTACCTGAACTGGATCCGCTCCCAGAAGTCTGGGCACATCGGGGAGAATGCTGCACACCCCAAAACTCCTCTATACATTTTCAAGAGGTTATCCTTTGCTTCAACTGCTAGGAACAAGAGTAAATAGCCTCATCCAGACTTCAAAAACATGGCACACCCCCGCAGAAAAAGAGCAACATTTCAGAAGTGAACTTTCCCTTGCTGAAATAAACTTTAAGTGATTTGAGCAAAACCATAAAGCAAATTGCCACAGCACTAGCATGAAATTTTCAAGCACCTCTAGGCGCTAGTTATGTGCTGCTTAGTGGGTCAGGCAGCCTGGCACAGTCGCATGGATTTCTGTATGATTCAGCTACCAAGTAGTAGTCCACACCTGAAACAACACAAACAGTGACAAATATCAGGTCTGTGAAGACTTTTCTAAAGATCTAGCAATGGTCTGGTTTTATTTGTTCGGTGTGTTTTTTTTGGTTGCCATTATGGTCGTTGGTGGATGAAGTCTCTTCAAGATGCTGTGGGAGCTCTCCCAAAGCAGTGCAAGGGTAGCAGCAGGTGGGGGTCAGGTGAAGGAAGGGGGAAGAGGAAGCAAGGTCCCATTAGGTCCTAGCAACAGTAGGATATTATGACTTTCCTCTGACCTTCAAGTGCAAAGGGTAACTCCTGGGTACCAACTTCACTTTGGGTTGCAACCCACCAGTTGAGGAGTTCTGCTTACATACCATTAATCTCCTGATTGCATCACCACCAAAGCCAAGTCAAACACATCACTCAGACAGACAGATGATACAGTCATACCCTTACAAGTTTCCTGTTTTCAGGGCCAAACCATCTTGGATGGTGTATAGGAGAGAATGCATAATTTACTAGCTTGTTTTCTCACAGGACAAATTCTATTTTGTCAAAAAATTCCATCAAAACCCTGGAATCATTGTCCTCCCAACATGAGATGCATTGGGTGATATTTCTTTCCTATACTTTATAAACTAATGTTTACAACTAACTGCCATCTTCGAATCTGAGTGAGGTTTCAGAAGCCAGCCACACAGGAATTGTATTTCACCTTTGCCAGGAGAAAGAAACAGCAAACTATTTTCCTTTTTAGCAAGAAAATACTTAAGATTAAAGATGGGTCGCAAGTTGATGGATTCCGTTCCAGACTTTAAAAACTTCCTGATGTCTGGGTTTGGTTGATTCAAATGTTTCACAGCCCCTCAGCCTCCCTCACCTCCACACTGGAGAGGTTTACTTAGGTGATACTCTAAGGACCACTAGTCACGGTTAGGAACACTTCCAGAAAATGACCTCCTATTGCTTATGCACAAATCTGCATTAGTAATTACATTTGCTCATAAAGTGGGGTCAGTCAATCCTCTCTGTTCACAAGAAAAAAAAATTGAGGTGCTGGCAACCAAAGTAGCATGTGTAATAAAACCTGTCTGTGCAAAGGTTCAGAGATCAGATTAACATCACTAAAAATGCTGCTGTTTAAGTATTTTTCTGTTTCTGGTGCAGGAACACTTTTTTTAAAATTTTTTATTAATTATAGGAACAAGAGAGTGAATTTGTACAGATACACTTAGCTCCTCTTGAAAAGAAAATCAAATCATGGCAAGATAGGAAAATCACTTTGTTGCTAATAAATGAAAAGATGATTGGATTTAATGTGTCATGCTTTGCATGCACAAGCAGAATGCCTGTGATCGATCACCCAGCACAAAATGCATTATTTAACAGCTATGTGACAGCAGGCAAGATGAAAAAGAAATACTGCCACAAAAAGTTGTATATGCAAACAATCAAAATCGCAGTATTTTCTCACATGACACCCCAGCATAAAATATGCATCTTGTTTTTGAAAGGCAGAATGAAGAAAAAAATAATCTTTCTATGCAGTAAGTAATGGAGCAGCATCACGCAAGGAGCTGCACCTACTCATTGTTCTGCTCCCTGCAACTCACCTGCAAATTTTACTTTTGCTTTCACCTGGTAAAGCAGAAACTGCTCTTACCGTATTTCTTCTATATTCTGCACACTAGAATTTCTAGCAGCCGTATTTTGGGGAGAAGTGTGGGCTGCATGAAAAAAACCAGTACTTTTCAAACACACATTAAAAGGTCATTTATTTCCTTACCCCTTCCTTGGAAATACCTCAGACAGGCAAATATGCCAAAGGCAGCCCCTCTTTTTATTTTAATTTCAAATGGAATTTAGTGCTCCTGGAAAATATTGGGCCCTCACCATTCTAACCGGTTGCTGCTGTATTTCAGCATGTTAAGGAAAGCCTACAGGAAGTGTTCAGTTCCTATAGCTCACCTACTGCTGGCTTGTCAGGATAGCAAGAAGAGCCTGAGTGCAAAATTGTCTCCTGAAAGCAAGGCAGTCCATGTACAGCAGTTCATCAAACTGGTCATTTCACACTAATAAGGCCCTTACTCCAGGGCACCCACATTTGAAAATAAATAAATAAAAAGGTAGATGTAGGTGTCAGTTACGTTTTTGCTTCCATACAGAAGTGTATAAAAAGGGATGGGGGGCAAGAACCATTTCCTGCAGCAACTAACATTTAGCTCATTTCTTCTTCAAATTATCCTCCAACAGTGACTGGCAGGTGACCAAACCCCCCCCCAAAGTATTCTGTGAGAATCCCAAGGTCAGTAAGGATGGGACACAGCAGGAAATGAATTATGAAGGTTAGTGTGTCAGGCAGGCTCAACAGAAGGAGAAAACGGAGATCCTCTTATTTGCATCTATAGAAATTAGGCTAGTTCAGTAAAACTGAATGTTCCTTTTGCTTTTACACTTTCTAAAAGACTCCTCGTACAAACAGCAAACAGCATTCGAGTTTGAACCACCTTGGGAGAGAGCAGCATTACACTACTGTTCACAATGGGCTCCCCTCTGAAGAAAATTCCCATTGCTAAGGCACAGAGAAATTTCCAAGGAAACCTTAACTTGTACCTACTTGCCCAGGCCCTTGTATAGTTAATAAACACGTTCAGTCCCAGGCAACATGTGAAAATTGACTTGTTTGTGACAAGGACATGAAGTCAGGATTATTTTGAGCCAAGTGAATTGTTCAGTGCTCTTTCAGATTTCTGAGCCATTTGTTAAAGAACACCCAATGCATTACCTATGTAAAAGGCCTCAAATTATCCTTTATTAATGTATTTCACAAACCTTCGATGCAAGAGTGATTTGTGTCCCCATTGTTGGAGTGGAATCTTCAGTAAATTAAAATTTTCCTTGAGCTGTGCATTACCCCGTTGATCTCATTAATGATCCCAGTAAGCAATATGTTGCCATACATTAGAACAAGGCCAAGCAGTGGTATAAATCAATATTTGATCAAGCTGAAAAATCAATTTCCCCCTTTATTTCCCCTCTCTGTTGCCTGTAGCAACCTTTGAAGGAATGCTGATCAAAACTGGTATTGAAGAAAATCTCTTCTCTGTATGGTCATCTCTCTCTCATAGAGCACAATGGGCAGCCTGTCCCATGTTCTGTTGTTACAAGACAAAGATCTCCACACAGTTTATCCTCGACTACTGGACACTGGCCATCATTTTGAAGACAAAAATTAGACCAATTTACAGGATCTGAACGAGGAAATAGTTCAGCTCTTTCTGCCTAAAGCATGAAGACATTTTGTCATGAAAGGCTGAACATGTATTAAATTCCAACTCAAAATGCACTGAATAACCCAAATACTAATTCTCTATTTCCATATTTTTAATTAATGCGAGTCTCTACTCTTCACTCTCTCATTTGTCGAGCATCTTCTTTCCTTCCTTCACTGTCCCATATTGCCCATTTGTTTCTGCCCTTTAACATCTCAGTCCTATAGAAGTGAAGAGTGTGGAAAAATGAATCTAGGTTTTTTTCTTCATCTCCCTCCCAATGTGTTCAATAGTGTTTTGAGTGAGGATAGCTGACAGCACTAACTTAAATGCTGCTGAATGGGGGAAAAGCTAACAGAAATGAACTGTTAATCTCTCCTCTAGAGGATTTTATAAGAAAAATCAGATTTCTTTTAGTGGGCTTTAGGAAACATCAGACAATTTTTTTGTTCATTTTTGACAAAAGGTCCCTCTATTTTAAGTTTACCTTTGTAAATATCTCCTCCCATTTGAGAGAGCAATCCAATCTGAGAAATGTACAACTGCAGGCAACACCCAGACAAGCTCAGAGAATGTCAAGAACCTACAGGAACCTTTTGCTAACAAGATGCACCCATCTAGCTACTAAAACATTAAGGCAGACTCCTCATTTGCAAATTTCATATTTATTATAACAAAAATTATGACATGTTCATTTGTGCATTCTGCTTTAATATAACTCTTGGTATGTAAATGATCTACAGTAAAATGAGCTCTATACAATCATGCTGGTTGTGGCAGCAATAAGGAACACAAATAAAATGCATCGGTAAAAGTAAGGGAAAGAAAAAACCAGACTGGAAGAAAATTGGGGTTTTTATTATGGTCTAAGAATCACCTAAACCCTAGGTAATTTGTACAGCCACTCTGTCCCCCATGTAGGATGACATGGCCCAAAAAGTCATTTAAGAAAAAAAATGTCAGTTTGTCAGGTTGTGTCCTTATGCCAAGACTACAAAACATTTTAAGCATCACTATACAACATTGAGCTATTTACAGTAATTTCCCAATCAACTGTTCTCTCAGAGAAAATTAGTGAATCTCAGTGACTTAGGTCACCTGAAAGAGTAAAGCAACTCCTAGGAGTTAGTCTCCATATTCTACAAATGTCTATCATTTTCAAGACCGGAAAAGCCTTTTTTCTCTCAAAGAAATACAGTATTACAATATTACTTAATCATTTAGCACTGGCATACTGCCCTGCTTTCCAAACAAAACAAAATGAGCCTTTTTAAAAAATATTACATCATCATCTGTTTCTCTGCAATATATTAAACCTTTTGTATTTTTTAATTTTTTTTTAAACACTTGATATGTTAGGGGGAAGTTAACTAGTTTAAATCTTAATGGTAAGATTCTCTAGAAGAAAGTCAGTGAATATTAAAAACTAACAAACAGAAAGATGCTGCAGTTATTTGTTGTGGCAGGATAGGGAAAAGGAAGCGTAGTTAAAACCCCTGCTGTATTCTGAGTCCTATGCAGGTCCTGCACTTCACCTTCTTGTTTGTTAGCTTGTTTCTGAACAGTAAGCAGGCAGGGTCATAGTGGTGTATCATAATAGTCTGGCAGCTGGTCCAATGGATACTGTCGCTGCTGCTGCTGCTGTTCCTGGTGTTGTTTCATGATCTCCTTGACCTCTTCCTCAAGCTCTGGTGGGATAATAAACTGATCATCTGGATCCGGTTGGGCTGGGGCTGCAAAGTAGCCCCCAGTTTTTTTGAGTGGTGCATCTGTTGCAACTTCAATCAGGTTATGGCTCCTCTCCTGGGGAGCCACAGAGCCATTGCCCCGTCGGCGCCCAATCGTACCAGTGGCAGAAACATCAGCTTTCCTGGGAAGGCCAGACTCATCTTCATTTGCGCTGATGACAATGCCTTCATCACTGGCTTCCACGGCCACTTGGAGCAGCTGTTTCTCCTTGGTTCGACTGCAGTGGATGTCTACCTCTACCTCCACCCGGCTTCCATTGGTAAAGACACCCTCAATCGGTTCCTCATCATCACTGTCAAGGCCATTGTCAGAGAAAGCACTCGAGAAGGTGGCGCTGGACAACTGCCTTTGGAAAGAGTTGGACAGGCAGACTGGGTGAAGCATGCAGCGCTGCTCACTGGGGTAGGCTGGGCTGTTCTCATTCATGGCAACCTGAGGAGGCTCATCTGAGGCTGTGGACCCCACCTCGCTGCTCATTTCAGAGGTGGAGATCTCGCTGCTGATCTCAGAGGCCATGCCACTACTCGAAGACGGCATTCCCAAAGCATCTGTTGGCCTGTCCTTAATGACCACATTCACTGACTGGGGGAAGATGCCTGGACTGGGAGGTGGGACTCCACCGAGTTCACAACAACAGAAGCTGTCCTCTGTCACATTGAGCTGAACCACCACGGCACTGATGCTGTCATTGCAACCGTAACTCTGGGCCAAAGTGCAAAGCTTCTTCGCAGCTGCCAGGGCATCAGGCACATTTCTGACTGCTTCCACAGCCTCATCCATAGAGAGGCTGTCCCATAGTCCCTTGCTACCCAGAATGAAGAACTCATCTTGTGGAGTCAAAGTAATGGACTGGACATGCGGACGGGGCACAACGCTGGGGTGAAGGAAGGTATAGCCCAAGATCCTGGTAGAATCTGTCACACCGTTTACTTTGCCATCCTGGAAATTTGTGAGAGAGAGAGACACAGGAAGTTGAAACTCTATACACATACAGACATAGCAATGCCATGCACCTGCATTGGCAAAGTGCCCATTTCCAAAGCACCTAGAGACACCCCCTTTTGATAAAGGAAGCAGGGTGGTGAGAAATAGCTTGAATGCCACAGTGATGGGACTGAGGTTAAGATTTAGTAGACCCTAGCTGTCAGTCAGTCTCCTGCTCCTTTCTCCTACCCCCATATAGGAATCAAAGACTTAATACTAGTTCCTTTCAAGACATCACATGAACACATCAGCTGTAAGGCACAGGACAACAACTGCAATAAATTGCCTATTTGACATCACAACAGAACATGCAATTGGGTCAATCACTAGCCAAAGCCTTAAGATTCTAGGCTTATGCACCTAAGCTCTTGTCAGCCAGTGAGATCTGTCCCTCCAAGCATACATTATCTTTTATATAACAGGGTCACACACCCACCACCCATCCCATAGACTCAAGAATTTTTTTTTTTTTTTTTATAGCTTCTCTCTCATAGCTGGTACAATGTACAATTCAACTCAACCCAGCCCCTTGAAAAAAACCTAAAGATTAAAAAAAAAAAAATCTTTAAATGAAGAACGAGAGTCAAAAATAACAGAACCTAAATCTGTGTTCCTCAGGCAGCTGAGCTGTAGTGAAATATTTTACATGCCCCAGTTACTCCTCTTACACATGACATTTCCCAAGGGGAGAAGTAATATCAAGTAATATCCAAAAGGGAAAACACCGTTAAAAGTATGTGCACTTGAAAAATAAATTCCATCCACATTCCAAATACTAATATCATGAACTATCATGATAAACAGAGCAAGTGCCTAAACTGTGGTGCATGCTTATCTGCCAGCTTCTTATGGGACTATCTGCAACCTCGCTAAAAAACGACTCAGGCAGATGAATCACAAAGGTAAGGATTTATAGTAATGCGGTCCAGCTAGCGCAAGCAAAGGCCATAACAGAATAACCAAAGCAGAGTGAATTACGGACCAAGAAAAATGGATTTCCTTTTAAAAATCTAGAAAAAGAGAAATGTTTTGAGCTTTCTATATTACATGACAGCCTGAGAAAGTGATAAGCCAAAGTGTGTGAATTTGGAGAGATGTTTTAGAATTCAGAGCAAAAATCTCCTCTTCCTTCGCAGAAAAGTAGTGATAACTCCCTGGGGATCTGCATCACATTATAATGTGGTTTCCTTCAAGCTTGTCATGATTTAGACTCTAACTGTGATCTTTCCTTGGCAGGATTAAAGAGACTTATGTGTGTGCACAGAAAATCTTTCTGTCCCTTTCCTGACATTGGTAAGCTACAAAAACACTATTTATTCATATGCACACAGTTCAAGACGAAGCAAAGCTAAGCCGACAATGTTAAGCTTCAAGTCTTATAGCAGTGATGTAGCAGCACCCAGCACCATTTTTTTTGGGGGGGTGTGGGGGGGGGTGGAGTTGTTTAAGGAGGGGATTCTCTTCTTCTCTGTTTGAAAATCAGCCCTGTGGCTGTTCCTCACTGGAGGAACAATAATTCTCTGTCCTTTCAGCAGCTCGTTCAACCACGGATGAGCTCAAATTGAGCTGCACACTGCCACACAAAGTGCCTGCTGAAGAACAACAACACACCTAGTACTGGGGTGGGCAAAATATGGTCCGTGGGCCAATCCAGCCCACCAGGCCATTCTATCTGGCCCACGGGGCCTCTAAAAAGTTTAGAAAATATTTATCTGCTCCTGGCTGCCTGTCAAAGGTGACAGGAGCCAGGGGCAGTAGAACCTAGGGGGA